TGTTTCTATCCAAGCGATGGGAAAGCGCTGTGAATAGGGGTTGGAAACCACTTAAAGCCACATTTGAGTAACAAGGAAGGGAAGTGCCTCAGAGTTCTCCCTCCTAACCATTTAAAGTCTCTATGATTTCAAGAGAGTAAGTATTGGAGATCCTCTCCTAATTGAGTACGTCATTTTTATAAAAGTTTGACAGGCGACTAAATACAAAAAAATAATTATACAAAAATAGAAGAAGTAACATAACTTTCAAATTGTATTATGGTTCTAAATGGGGCCCCTAGGTCAGAAAGTTTCCAGCTGAAGGTATTTATTGGCACTTATTCCGACTTAAGAGAGAAAAGTTCTCCCTATGGAGGCAAACCTAGAGTCATGTGTGCCTCCTGGAAGTCCCCACTTAAAGTAGCCACGAAGGCAAAATAGTGACTACTGTAAGAGCGAACTGAAAGAATTCACCACGTGCATTTGAGAGATTCATGCAGGTATAAACATGAGGCAATAACTAATGAACCTTTTGCAAAAATAGCAAAACTTCAAAGGTGTATTAAAACAGTATTATCTCAAAAGAACCATTCGAAAACAGATGTTATCCAGTAATACAGCCTGTAAGGTTGCAAATTCAAAAACCATGAGTTTGAATAAGAATTCAGAATCATAATAGTGCAGATGAAAGAAAGACATTTGTAAATTCTGAACCTTCTAACCCTTCAGAAAAAGCAAGTGAAAATTTAATTTGTCATGGGATCATGATGAGGCTGTTGCTGAAAGGCCGTAATCAAGAGGTTTTTCTCCCTTTCACAAGGGTTTGGGAAATGCGCGGGAGCATTTCCTTTCTTTTTTTTTTTTTAAAGATTTTATTTATTTATTTGTGAGACAGAGAGAATGAGAGACAGAGAGCATGAGAGGGAGGAGGGTCAGAGGGAGAAGCAGACTCCCTGCCGAGCAGGGAGCCCGATGCGGGACTCGATCCCGGGACTCCAGGATCATGACCTGAGCCGAAGGCAGTTGCTTAACCAACTGAGCCACCCAGGCGCCCCCTTTTTTTTTTGAGCATTTCCTTTCTAAGGAAGAGATAGTAGAAGCAAACAGTGCAGAAAAGGTATACAGGCCTGGTCCCGACAAGCTGAGAAAGCTGTATCGTCAGATGTGGTCTACTTTCTTTCGAGGAAATCTTTGCTTGCAGGTCCCCAAATGGTGTACAGGTCCAGTCAGGGTTTGGTGATTTCTCTAGATGTGTCACGTGAATCCAAGAGCCTGTCCCTTGGAGTTTGGTGCCACAAAGATTAGCAGTTCCTGATAAGAGCCTTTCCAGCGAGATTGGATAGTCTTTCTGGAGGTGCCTTTTTCTGTAGATGAAATCACCAGTTTGCAAGATGTGATGCTTAAGGTCATTGTCTCCTGGCAATGAAAAAGATCACTCTACCAAAGCACAGTTATTTTTCATAGAAGTAATCAGGCTATTTAGTATTGAAGTATATCTCCTTTCATCTACTGTGGGTCAAAGGAGCTGTAGGGGCCAAGTGCATTGGACCTCTGTGACCATCTCAAAGGGTGAGAGTCTGAGTGTCAAAGGGGCGGATCTGAGATTTAGAAGAACCAGTGGCAGTGCTTTTGGCGAAGGTATTTGGAGGATCTCTACAAATTTTGCCAATTGAGTCTTAATAGTGTTGTTAATATGTTCACCTAACTCTGAGGATCGAGGATGATCTGCCCCGTGACACTGTTGTAAAACTGGGCAAACAGCACAGATGTCGAAGCACCTGGTCATTAAAACGGGTTCCCAATCACTCTGAAGTTCGAGAGGGCTCCCCAGGTGGGGGTCACTTTTTCGAACAGAATTTTTAGCCAAGTAAAAACAGCAGCCTCTCTATAAGGGAAAGCTTCAGTCCAGTGAGAAAACATACGGACCATTACTGAAACTTGTTTCTATCCAAGCGATGGGAAAGCGCTGTGAAATCCATCTGCACAAACAGGTTTCTCTGGATTGTGTTTTTGACAGGTGGGGCAAGTGAGGTAGGCACTTCTTGCAACCTCACTAATATGTCCCCACTAGTACTGGTTCATGAATGTTATCTTGTGTCAGTAGACCACAATGGTTTAATGCACGTATAGTGGTAAGTAGTAGGAACTTGAAGATTTCTGGTAGCACCAGATTGGTTTTTGGTCCAGACCAGAGTTCTCTCTTTTTTATTGAACCAACCAACAATTACTAGGTTTCCAATATTGTTTTTACCCCTCTGGGGCAATTTGTTGGGTATCTCCTTTTTTTTTTTTTTAAAGATTTATTTGAGAGAGCAAGAGAATGCACACACACAGAGGGGAGAGGCAGAGGGGAGAGGCAGACTCCCTGCTCAGCAGGGAGCCCGATGTGGGGCTTGATACCAGGACCCTGAGATCATGACCCGAGCCGAAGGCAGACGCTTAACCGACAGCCACCCAGGCGCCCCACTTGTTGGGTATCTCCTAGTGGTCTTTCTGAATTATCATTTGGCAGAACATCTCTTTGGACCATGACAGAGGTTATTGGTTTCTTTGAGAGCAGTGTTTTGGGCAGAAATATCAATGAGATGGTTCCCTTTGGCCTCCAGGGAGTTGAGTGTGGAATGCTCAGGAGCCATAATAACAGCCAGGGCAGCCAGCAAAAGTGTGGCATCTAACAAATTTTGGACGTAAGAGCCATTTTTAATTTTAGCCCTACTGGAGGTAAGAAAACTTTGTTTCCGTAATCCAGAGTCATGAGCTACCCCAAAGGCATACTGCTCTCGGTATCAATGTCTGAGGTTTTGCCCTTAGCCAAAATATAAGGGTGGTTAAAAGGGAGCCCATGATGATTTCATCAGGAATGTTTCTGAGGCCAGGGTGATAACCCTGTGTCATTGGGTCTAGTTGTTGACTGTAAATGGGTCCCTATGTTTTTGGGTGAGTACTCCCAAGGGTATTCCCTTCTCTCATGCAAAGACACATATGTCTTCCTGATCTTTCCAAATAATAGGGTGAGGTTTTACGTTTTTTAGTAAAACATTTAGAGATTGAGCCATGAGAGAGAAATTTGGAATCCAGTTTTGACAGTGCCAGCCAGTTCAAGAAAACCTCATAATTGGCCTTATTTTTAGGTTTTTGGAAAGTTCAGAATGCCATGAAATCTCCCTGGATCCAAATGTAGTCCTTTTTCTGAGGGCAGATGCCCTAAGTATCAAACCTGAGCTTGAGC